CACATTTGAAAGCCCGGGTTACCTGCCCGGTAGCAGACGACAGCGACTAATGTGTGCTGACCCTATATTTCATCTGTTATTGGGCCAGAAAACCCGAGCCTATTTGAAACTTATGCCATGCAGGCTTTTCACGAATGCGCACCTTTCTTTAACATGTTAAACTGGGACAAGCCTTAGTGGAGGACTTATATAGGACCACTGTCCAGAAAATTCACGGGGCGGACGCGATGTTCGTCCCAAAAAACCAGCACGCAGTCTGATGAGCCGCAAGCTGCCTAAAAAATTCGGGGTCTTCTGGAGAAGAGGTTTCAACTTTTTTCTCAAAAGCTGACTAGACTATAGAAGACACAGAAGATGAGCTGGCGTTTCGTAAATTATGGAAAATCTGTAAATTATAATTCCGTCAATAGAAGATACGAAAACAAGCCACCACTCTGGACCTCGCTTGGAGAAGCAGAAATGTGCTGTTCAAATACATGCGACAAGCCATCCGCGTTCTCTTTGAGGGACAGGAACGGGAAACCCACGAGTGAACCAACAGCGGTATTTGAATTTTACAGAGAACACTATGCAGGTCTATATTCAGCCATAGCCTCCTCTTCACATCCAATCTTGTCTAGGTGTAACTACGAACGGCCTCCACCGACTTGGCCTTTACGATTGAGAACATTCGTCAACCCCTGCCCAGGATCAACCCATTCCGCACGTTGGGGCCCGACGAGGTCCATTAGAGGATCCTGGAAGAAAAGTCGTTTACACGGACAAGTATTTTCTACATGGCGTTTCGTCAATCGCTTGACGAAGGCCGCCCTCCCTCTGCTTGGAAGGAAGCGACTGTTATGCCAATCTGCAAAAGTGACCGACTACCGCCTGGCAGCTAATGTCCTATAACTCTCAGGAGCGTGCCGTGCAAGGTGATGAAATGCGTCCTGAAGCAAGCTATCCTAGATTACCTTACTTCTGACAACTTGACATCTCCAGCCCAACACGGATTTCTCCCAAACCGTTCTTGCGTGACGAGGGTGCTCGAATTCATAGACAGCTTAACCCAAGCCAAGGACGAGGGACTCATATCGGATGCCATATTTTTCGACTCCTCAAAAACATTCCATCGGGTTCCACACGTGCTATTGCTCCACAAACTTGAGTCTCACGGGATTCAAGGGAAAATTCAACACTGGATCAAGCGTTCCTCTTAAACAGATCGCTCCGAGTGAGAATAGGCTCGACCTACTCTTCTGCAGCGCCGGTCTACATAACAGTTCTTCAAGGCTCCGTTTTGGGACCACTACTGTTTCTTATATACGTCACAACCTTCCAACGTTCTTGCAAGCCCACACCTACTTTTTCGAGAGATATAATCCTGGAGTTCCAATGCCAGTACCCTCCAAGTGGGTGTAGGCGCTGCAAAGCGGTGGTCGTTGGACTGGCATCTTCCTCTAAATGACGAAAATTGCACCCGTATGTCATTTGGAGGAGACTAAGCGAACCCGTCTCTCGCTCATGGTGAGAGTAAAAAAAGATGTTACAAGGCTAGATGCCAAAAGAACTGGGTATCCGGCTCTATTCTATCTGCTTAGGAGTCGACTTGCCTGGCCTGTTGACCTCTGGGGAAATATCGACGGGCGGACATAGGTGAAACCACACTTCCGACAATAAACTAAAAGCGGTGGCAGGCTAAGCTGACTGTGGGTGCAAAATAGAGCTATATTCCAAACGATTGGAGTATTTGTGAATTTTTGGGCTTTGTGGACCGTTGTGGACTGTTCACTTTAAAGAGTTCCATTTAATTGATGTGAAAATCATGACTGCTTGCTGAACCTGCAAATTCGATGTTAAGCTAAGTTGCATTTCGAGTGATGTTGACAAAAACCGTTTACTTTCAGGGGCGTTGGACTAATTCCCACATTAGATGCAACCTTTCGGGCACCCCAAACCTACCTCAACTGGCAGAATTCGTAGATCAACAAAGAAGTTTGTTTTGTTCGTTCGTGATTGTCCTCGGCAGAGTTGCTCCACTATCACCGACTGTGGCTGCTTCGGTTTAGCGTTGGGCTCTTAAAAAATTTGTAACCCCAAAAATATTGCGTTAGCCTGGTTGAAGTATTTTTCAGTTATTTTCTAGGTACAGGCATAGTCTGCACTAGCTCCTCTGGCAGGCTTGATGACCTACTTCAGCACATAGTCTCAGACGGTGTCCTGACTGACGGTGGTGGCGACAATTGGGAGCGCAAGGCGCTTACAACATTTATTAGCTCGGTTGTCACTAAACAACGGTCTTTGTAGGTGCAGTGAATTATGGGACTTGGCCTGCTTGAAAATACAAGACACAACAGTGCGTTGGTCTAAGAAACGCTGGTGGTGAATCACTAATCGTTTCTGGAGGGAGAGTGGCAGAGATAGCTGGAAGCATGTTGCTTGAGCCGAGCACATCAAGTGGCGGCCTGTGTTTGGTCAGCGATATAAACCGGGGTGCAGATTATTTTGTTGAACGCCTTGAATGGGTACGCGATCAACAAATCTTTCTTCCCCACTGTTCTTCGTGAGTAGCCAGCTTATCTTGTCTCAGAGGCGATGCAGGAAAGAGGAGAAATGGATTATTTAACCTAGGGAAATTCATGCCTGTTAGAGATGGCACGCGTTTGATGTGGTTGGTATTCCCCAAATCCATTCAGCCACCGTGTCTGTCGAGTCAAAGGACATTGATGGCTGCGCCAGGTTGATGCGGTTTCTTCAGCGCATTATGAGGTCATACTTTTGAAAACCACCCTTCATACGTACAGCGTGCTGTCGCCAATCGTCGGGATGGTTAGACGAGTAGGCCCTCGAAGGAAGTGGCAACATCAGACACCTCACAGCATCACGTCGATTGCTAGCTGAAATGGGGCTGTACTAATTGACATCAAAAGACACCGGAATAGGCTGAAACAAAACGCGGCTTGTACTGGCGTCAAAGGCTCTTATCAACTGTTCACAACTTTGGTCTACTGAATAGCATTAGCCCAATTAACCCGTGCCGGATAACTGCTGCTATTCAGTTTTACTAAAAAGTTTGGAAGGGGAGCAGGCTTTTTTGTGTTTCCAGTGCAGTGTTCGCTGAACCGGAGAACCCCGCAAACAAGAGTTTGCTTTCGTTGATCCTCACGGTTCCGACCAACCCGTGTGACGGAGCAGTTCACACATTTATGGTGGTCCAGCTGCAGGTAAATATTGGGCAAGGCTAAATACAGAGCCAAGCTCCTCGCCTGAAAATTAGTTCACAATCGGTCAAGAGGCAAATACCGCCTTCCGTTTTTATGCACTCTTCAAACGATGATGTGAGACTTTCCAGGACGTCCGCAAACAAATGCGCCTGCGACTGCAATTAGCGATAATCGTGGTCAGTTACATTTAAAAACCATGGTCTGGTGTCCCAATTGTGGGTCTTCTAGAAAGCGAATCAAAATAAAGCGCTCGAGTTCGTTCCTCTTTGCCGAATTAGGCCAGAAGTGCTCGTGGATCCGACTGGATTCATCCGCAAACATTACAGATTTGTTGCCACCCCTTTTGTCCATCTTACAGCCATCGTGACAGGCATTAAATGGTAGCTTTTGGTTGAGGGATGTCTGTGTTAGTGTCTTGACCGCTTCACAAACGGCCGAGATTAGAGGGCACATTGGAGTGTCTGAAGTCCTTAACCATTCATGCATGTTGAGTTTTCACCGCAGTAATATCAATTTCCAAACATCAAGCGTGAAACCTTATTTAGGAATATTTATTTATATAGAGTGAGCCAAAAATAAAAAGCACGATCGGAGTGAGGATTCGATTTTAATTCCATTAACAGGACTAATAGTGCAGTATCTCGCCTACGTTGCTACAGGTATCCGTGCACGTGTCGTGGAGCGCAGTTCAGTCGACATATAATGTATCATTTCCCAGGTGCATTGGTGCCTATTGCAAGCCATGTCAATCTTTCTTCTTTCCTGTTTCATTAATTTTCTGTGCCTGAGATTTGTAATGCTCATTGGCCAAATCGTCAGATATGGCACACACACGACTCACAGATTTTGTGTAGGCGTGTCGTTATGTTATTCGGCCAGTCCTTGGGAGAGTCACGT